AAACTACACCATGAAGCAATAGGGTCAAGTCTAGACACAAACTTGAATACACCTCTGTACTATGTGATAAAAAACACCCACATTCTAGCTTTTGGTGCTAATTCAATACCTTTTAAAGGCACTCAATTAATTTAAAACATAAGAAAAAAAAGGAGACACGTTTGGTAAAGTGATTAGTTCAGACTCCAAGAGCAGACAAGAGACAGAGTAGAGAGAAGAGTCTAGAGACTGAGGTATAAAATTACAGATAAGTACCAAATACACTCAGCAATTTCTTAGCAGAGAACGTAATAAGGATTTTAAACAGATGACATTTGCATTTGCAGTAGTCAGACTGACAGAACAGATGTGCTAAAACCCATTAAAAAAAGCCCCAATCTGAAAGCCTTGTCAAGGTTTGTTAGGGACACGATTTGCACGTCTGCAAAATGAGCTCAACAACGTCTCTCTCCGAGAAACAGAAGTGCATTTTGAGAAAGAAAATGAAACACATTCACATTGTAAAAAAGTGAGGGAGTTGATATGGTCTACTTCATAATTACCTGCATTTTGAAAGTGAGTAGAAAAAGGTATATAAAAATAGTAAATGGTTATTTTAAAATGACTCTTTTCATGGCCCTCTGATTCTACTTTCAGTGAATGTCAGGGAAGTAGGGAGCCTTGCTGAAGCCAGCTGTCCAAAAAGGACTGTGTAACACCTCTCAATTTGCACAATATCTCCAGTTTCCTGGGACATCAGGTAGTTAGTTGTTTGTAATGCTGGGCAATTAGGTCTTCAGTTTCCAATTGAGTGAATTTCCTTCCAAGTTTGTGATTTATTTTCTACTGCACACATTTACTACTTTAGGTCCTTTGCTGCCTTCTTCAAACCTCAGTAATTATGTATCTACCTGTGCTGAAAAATCAAGGTTTGATTACAGAAAAAAGTAATGGAGGCTCACAGAGGCTTTTGAGTAGGTCTGATTTTAATGGAAAAGGGAGACCCATTGAAAAGAAACCCCAGAAGTTTCTGCCTGACAGAGCTGTGGCTTCTCTGCTGGCAGACCAAGTTTGCTGGCCTTCTGATGATATTGGAAAGCTCCAATGTTTCAGTCTGAGTTACGAGACAGTCTCAAATGAACAGAAGCAGCCACCCACAATTAATGTTATGCTCCTAAATCAGGACACAAACAAAAACAAACTGGGAGGCAGACCCAGCTTTTCCTCAGAATTACTCTGTTCTCCAAAACAGAAAGGTATAGTCTTTCAGTCTAGCTCTAAATTTCCCTACTTTTCTATTTGTCTAGATTTTGGGTTTACAAGTCTCTTATCAAGCAGCAGTAATGGGAGACATAAATATAAACTTGGATGAACATCAGAATCACTTCACAAACTAAAAAGGTGAGAGAATATAGCCTGGGCAACAAAAGCAAACTTGGAAAACACATTACCAGTTTAAAGACTTTTTAATGGTATATATTCACATTGCTGATTATTCAAGCAATTACAAAATATGACATTCAGATCTCAGGTTTCTTTAACTCAAATATATTCCAGTTGTTTGCTTTTACCATCAAAAGTAAATTTCAGGGGATTAAGTTTCAGAAATTCAAGATAATTAAAGCTGTCTTGCTCTTTTTGCAACTACAAACATCACCTTTCAGAAATATAATGTATGCTGAATCTTGAAAGTTGAGATCGCTTGAAAAACAACTCACATTTTGATATAATGACACCAAAAAGAAGACTTTCTCATAAAAGACTAAATTTGTCTCTGGATTAAATTCACTTAGCAGCAATTTCTAGAAGTCCTCTATTTAGCTGCAAACTCATGCAGGAATCAGCCTTGTGAATAGTGCCTGAAGACTACTCTATCAGTCCCCAGAGACCACAGACCAGGGCACTAGTTCTTACTTAGTCCCTACAGACTGTGCACACTCTCTACATTAATCAGTACATCCTCACTTTATGCTGTTGCTCTCTAGAACTGTTTAAAAATAAATTCTCAGGAAATATATCTATATATTAGATTTCCAGATATATGCAGATCAGCGAATCAAGTGCTCAACACTATTTTCCTGATTAGTCAAACTTACTGAAATTTTAGTGCAAAAAAGTACAAAATATGATAGAAGGAATTTCTAAAAAACAAGTGTAAAACAAGTTTTCTGTATTTCAATTTTTCAGTCTAATGGATTTGCCTTTCTTGCTTTATATTCTATGCATTTTGCTATTAATCTTCATAGTAAACCAAAAGTGTTGGCACATGGCTGGGGAGAGTGGCTCAGAAATACAAAGAGTTGCATATCAAAAGCCAGCACTAGAACATCAATACTAATTTTTAAAATTCATTTATTTTGCTCATGCCTGCAGAGAGTCCTCAAAAAGAGGAAAAATGTGACATTTCTATCTACACAGACATAGAGTTTCAAGAATGATCCATTTTTTTTAAAAACAGAGTTTCAATATAGAGAATACTCTGTCTGGAGTACTCTTGGAGAACTCTAACTTCTCTATAAGGTATTGTGTGCTTAGCAGGATATAAATAAATCCCCACTCTGAAGAAGATACCTCTGCAGTCACTCATGGCTCTACAGAGGAAGGAAAAGCATTTTTTTCCTTCTTGGAGAAAAAAAGCCCCAGAGTGTTTTGTTGGCCTGATTGAGAAAAAGATTCAGAAATCAGTTGGTATGTCTTTGGGGTTCAAAACAAAAATTATGACATAGATGTTTCTTTTCCTTTTTCCTTTCATTTTTACTTGCTGGACTAAATTATATGTGTTTAGATATTTGAATGCAAGTTATTAAACACTTAACTGATGACCATTAGCATTCTTTGATGCATGGCTTTACTTCTTCACCTGGTCACCCTATATAATTATTGCTTTAATAAAAATTTTTGTGAACTTATTATTAGAGCAGATGTTACACACTAGAGACATTTGGAATCTGCTGATAAGTCCTTGTACATTTTGTGTAGGAAGCTTCTAGATAATTTTATGGCCCCAGCAATAGAGAAAGGATATCTAGGGTGTTCTACTTTTGGCTTATTTTACCTTTTTGATAAATGGGAGATAGAAATAATCCCTTTTGGCTATTAAAGTAGTTTAAACACATATTTATTTTTAGCTTTTCTGGCTCTAGTCTCTGGACTTGTCTGCAGCCATGTTAAGTTCTGGTAAATTTTGTGCTGAGATCTTTATAGGAATATCTACATGAGAATGTAATAGCTGGCTGCTGTCACGAGAGCAAAGTCTACAAACAAAGACTCTATGCTCTTAAGGGCAAAGAAAACAACCTTTCATTTTACAGATGAGCACATGTTCAAAGATCCAAAACATTTTCTCTACCTTCCATGGCTTCTTTATCCTGCTGCCATATACTTCAAAGATTTTTCCATCTTAATATCTGGAGACTATTTTCTAACAGGAACTACTAGATAGTTTGGTATTTTCTTAATAAGCAGGATAAATAAAGTTTATTATTCTTTAAAATCAAGACATCAAACCAGTTTTCTTCCTTGTTAAGTTCACTACAAAAAAGCCCTGGAAAAAGACGTATGACATACATTACTGTATGCTCAGTGACCAGCTGTTTTAAATTTGGGTATTAAGTAATTCACTCTTTGCTGTGTGCAAGAGCTGAATGATTTAATAAATCCCCATATGCCCCAACATGTGCCAGCTATACTGGGTTATCGAAAATCCAGCTGCTGTTATGATAATAGCTTCCAATGCTAAAACTACTGAAGAGAATAATGAATCAACTTCAAGTCAACTAAGACATGAACTGACACAGTTCCACTTAAGATACGTGGGAATACAATACATCTGTTAATTAAAAACTAACACTGATCCATAGTCACATGAAATTTAGTGCCAAGAATTCATGGGCATTGTTTGTGGTGGAAAATTAATGCAAATCAACCTGTATGAAGACAAGCAGCTCCATTTCCATCAGTTGTCCTAGATGCATAGGAATGTCCTATAAATTACACATTCAGTTTGCAAAACAGATTCTATTGTGTCACAGTTGGCTTTCTTTCTTACATATTGTAATTCCCATGCAGCTATTAGATGACATGTTTTACATAGCAAGACTTCTCAATTTTTCAATTATCACAAAAAAACTGATTAGGAAAGTTTGATTGATGTACCAGTATTTTAATATAAGAAAAGAGTCAAAGGTTAAATGCCACTGCCTTAAGTCATTGAACAAGCACACAAACAAAGGAAGCAGAAAGAGAGAAAGTAGCCAAACAAGGTGTCAGAAATGATTCTCCAGACACATGGTTTTTTGACAATCAGTGCAGAAATATCCATCAAAATATGTCACTATTTGCTTTTTAAAGGCTAAGAAAATACTTCTTTGGATATGAAATTATTACTTGTAGTTACAAAAGCTTTGCAGGTAGATGCAGCTTTCATCTTGGTGTCAGCATAAGCAAATACATTAATGATACATTCTTTCATTTCTCACAATTAGCTCTGTTGTTAAGGGAAATAATTTTGAAATTAATCTAGAACTCATCAGTCCCCTAAGCAAGATTAGAGTGTTACTATATTGATGCAAATTTACATAAGATATAGGACATAAAATACTTATTAGAACAAACACAAAATCAACCATTTGCTGGAGCTGGATCATCTCCTGTACACAAAGTGTGCAATGCTCTAAAGCCACATTAAAGACAACTTCAGTAACTCCAACTTCAAGCAATCTATATATAGTAGTTTATGTATAAAAAAATCATTTAAGAATGCATTTTTTGGAAAAGATTAGGAATACATTGACAAATTAAAAGCATGTCACGCAAAGATTTAAGATGCTTATAAAAGCTTGACCATAGGGGCCAACCACATCAAGGGGCTTACAGAAAACTCAAAGACTTTGAAAGCTTAAAGGACCTCATTTTTTTCATACCTTAATTATGAAGTTGCAAATAATTGTGTTTTCAGCCACATGTTCTTGACATTGCAACAAACCCAACACTGTCATTTTCTCAATTATTAGTAGACTTACTTTTCTTTAAGGAAATCCACTACTTGTTTGAAGTCTGCCACACAGTATTCTCTTTTCATGTCCATGAGCACACTGTCAGAGGCTGACTGGACTGGTATGTGTAGAAAAGCATACACTCTTGGATGATTGAGAATCTTGGCCATTTCCTGAGAGTTATTAAAAGAAAAAGAAGCTTTAAAGCATTATGAAAATAATACAGAAAACTCAGATTAATATATGGGGTAAGTATCAGCAGTAATACTTCTAAAACTCAAACAATACTAAACTGCCCCAGCCCAGTTTAAAACAGTAGGGACAGGTGAAAATACCTGAAAGCAATTTTTTTTAGGAGAAAATAAGAAGAAAGCGATGAAATCCAATTTCCTTTGAGATAGCGATCACAAAGGGATCACATTCCCTATGTAGTATTGATTACACAATTAAAAGAAAATTTTAGAGGCAAAGTATTATGAAAATTGGTGATTTCAGACAGTGGCTGTTTTCAGAAGATGGCAAGGGTTAGTTGCTTTCTTGTTGGAATTAAGTAACTTCTCAGATACCAAAATGAGAATGTCTGTAATTGGAGCATCCCTAAAGTCAGCCAGTTGCTAATTAAGGTACACCTCACCACTTGCAAACATGCTCCAATACTGGTCCGAAATGTTGCCTGTGTTACTTCAGAGAAAAGGACTGAAATTAAAAGTGCTTGGCTATAATATGAATAGAATTAATCAGGGGGCAGCTTAAAACTGGAGTGACAGCTTGGAAAGAGACACAGGATGTGATACATTTTGTACAAATGCAAAAGGTCGGGGGGGGGGGGGGGGGAAGTAAAGGTAAGAGCAAAATGCAAAACCAAACTTAATGAAAGCCAAACCAACCTCCCAACAGAGGCTTGGCAAGGAGAAGGAATGTGAGACAGAATAGAATATGGTGGTCCGGTTTCTCTCATTTCAATTATTTAACCAATTAAGGACATACAGTCAAGCAAAAAAGTTTAAGTATTTTTTAAAGTTGAAACCAACCAGCGTTGAGATATGGTACCATACTGCTTGTTAATCTTTGTCCTGCAACAAATAAGTGAACTTGGGCAAAAAAGCATATTCCATGAACAAGCAGACCTTCACATACAGTTTTTGATTTTGTCTTTCTCCCTGAGCTGTGGGCATTCAGGAAATGGCCTGGGACTGAGCACTGCTCTTCTGCCAGTGCACTCTGTGTGCTCCAGTCAGGCTCACTCAGGCCATTTCTGCTGTTTCCTGTGATGGCACAGATACTCTGGCTGACAACACATACTGCTGCCATATTTACTTTTTAAGCTGCAACTATTTACAAATTCTTCCAGACCATTAATCAGCAATATTAGTTACGCATCTAGATTTTCTCTCTGTATTTCTAAAAGGCTGTCCTAGATTGTTCAAAGAGAAAGCAGACATCCTTAAGACTTTTCATTTGCAGGAGCTCAGCTTTTAAAAGCATTGATTTTTAGAACAAGAAAAAAAAATGCTCTCTCGATACTCACTTTTCATCTGACAAACAGATGTGTACAAAACCCGAAACTCTATCAAATCACTTCTGGAAGCAGTTTTGAAAGTTTCTGTTTAAGATCCTATTACATAAATGTCTCAGAGAAGTGGTTACATTATTCAAGGCAACAGCTACTCCATCTCAGGTATGTAAACTCAATTTGATACACAGAATTGCACACAATTTGATACACAGAAAGGCTGTGTGCAGTGAACCTGGCTCTCAGTGGAAGCTGGAGGTAGCTGGTTTCATGAAAAAAAGAGTGAAGAAAAGGCCACCATGCATCCACACGGATTTTGTGTCCAATTCAAATGGAACTGTACTTATCTGTGCCCTTAATAATTGCAGATGTTCAGCTAGAACATATTTTCAAAAATGAAATTGTGCAGTACAAGTACCTAGAAGTGGGAAACTTTTTTTAAGCTTTAGAAAATCTTGTGAATGTAATTTATATGAAGCATCCTTGTAGTCATCTGTGACTTTTCTGTTTATCAGTAATCAAATATGTTTCTAAAATATGGAAAATATGAGCTGAAAATCAAGCTATGGACCACAAGCCTATTATTCTGCTTATCTCTTGGTTCCAAGTACTTTATTCAGTTTTCAAACACAGATTTATGATGATATAAGGAATGAATGAAAGTCATGTTTCATAACGTGCTTCTAAATCTTCCAAGTTCTTAAAAAACTCACCCTATGACATAGGAAAAAAAATTCTTTGCCATTCCTCTCAAATTTTCATCTTCTGAATAACAGACTCTTTAATATGAGATCAGTTTGTGAATTCTTTTTGAGAGTAATAAATCATTAGAATTTCTAGATATGGAAGCGTTATTTTATTCCAGCTTTTGTAAGGCTGAGAAACATCTGATAGAACAAAAACCCAAACAGATTCACTGTGTCTGTTTGTTTGTGATAGAAATATTTGATCTTAAAAAACCCTACCTTGTTTTACCATGAAGTTTTGATTTTTAAAGTCACAAATGTGGAAATTCTCTAGTTATATGAAAATGTTGGTTTTATTTCTCATATTCACTTTAAACAATGCAAATGTTATGGTGAAATGTGAAGAATGAAAATCAAATTCTAAAATCTCAATGTTCCTACTCAGAGAAATCAAAAAAACCAAAGCACCCAACCAACCCCAAAGCCACTAGCTGCTGGTCTGACAGTAACATGTAGAATCCTTCTGGTCTCACAGCTGATCTCTTTCAGGGGGCAAGAGGGAGCTTTTGACTGCACTTCTTGTAAGAGGAACCAAACCAATAGTGCCCACCATCCAGTGTTAAACAAGACTAATCAGAATTGCTTCTTGCAGTTATCCCCCATGTAAAAGAAAGAAAACACATGTTTTCTGCGATCACTGTTGTCGATAACTTTCAGGATTAAGAACACAACTGTTGTCATTTAAAGTAATTACCCTTGGTTCTGTACCAGTGGGATGTAAAATGCCTGGCATTAATTATCTGAACTTTTCAACTATCCCTACAGATCCCTCCATACAGTAAAAGCTACAGCTGTAAGCTCAAAAACATTATTGATTATTCCACTGCATCACTTTGGTTCAGAAAGATACTCCATATCAAAAGAACTGGCATTCTTTAGAGAGTAAATAGCATGCCATGTGTAGCAGAAATTCACATGCAATACACACATGGTCTGTCTGGGAACACTAACACAGCCTAGATGCTGTGGTCATGGGTTTCAGGGATCTTATGGACACTCAAAGCTCCTTCTAGAGATGAGGAGGTTGCAAACAGCTCTTTATACTTGAACTTCTTTCTTTACTTGATTTTTGTATCTAAAGGTACACAAAATACACTGCATGTGCTTTGAATCAAAGATCCTAATGATAAACTGATTCCCCAGCAGGTACTTGAGAATTGTAACAATTAACTTTGTGAATTTAGCACAACACAAATTATTCAGACAAACCAAACACAAGACTGAAACACCTGATGACCCACTCTTTCATTGTCACTCACTTCTACCGGTGGTCTCAAATTTACCTTTTATAACCAGAAATTCTGAATGAGCCATTCAGAAGGAAACAGAATAATGAATTAAACAAAAGCTTTGCTTGATTGCATCAGAAATCTGGATAAATCAATCTTCCAAACTTTGCACTGTTCAGATAGAAATATCACATTCTGACCTGTAGCTTTAAGGTAAGACTGTTCCAGTCTTATATTTCATCCTCCCTACCACTAAAATAACACTGAAGTTCTTTGCCACATAGGTTTGATTAAATTACAACTACTCTGCACTTAACAGTCATACTTAGTCAATGCTGACAGATTTTCCCATACTACAGATTGCACATATAATATCAGATTTCATCACTTAATAAAACTATTAGTTAATATCCCAAAGAGTATTTGAAGGACATCACGGGCTAATGCATATTTTTACTTCATCATGTCTCAACATTCTAAGCTTAACATCTATTTCCTGTTGATTTTCTATATTTATATACATTTATTTTTTTTCTGAAGTGTTCTGCATTACTAGGTATAATTACATGTTTCAGTTAGAAAAAAAAAAACCAATAATTTTATTTCCATCTGGAAACAATAAATGAACAACGTTTTGAAACTGTATCACTGTGAAAGAAACTTTCTGTCTTTCAACATGACTGAAACGGCTGATTGCCTTTTCTTGCTATTCCCTGGAATCTGATAATGTGTCTATGAATGAAGGGATGCACTACACAAAAATGAAATATCATGTAGGAACTAAAAGGTCAAAAAGTTGCACAATTTGTTTTAACCTGACTCTACAAAAATAGGCGTCATCTACATTTGGAAAATAACAATGTATGTGAAGCATCCTTCAGGATACTGATCACATATGAAATATTTTTTTCCAGTCCTTAGCAGCTGGAGTACATTAGAACACAAAGCACATTACTAGAAAGATTTCTATTTAGTCAGTGTATTTTATCCTAGCAATTACAATACACAGATTTAACCACCTAACCAGAAAATCACACCTCCTGTTTGCAGTGACACCATGTGCAACCACAGAAAATTGCGGACACAATAAACATCAATATCTCTGCATCTTTATGGCAGTACCAGCAAGCTGTTCAGACAGCAATTCTTTCCCCTTACCTAAAGCAGGCAAAAATCCAAGTATTTGAATTCTGTCTTGTGTTTGAGTCACGATAATGTGAATAGCTTACTTGCTAGCAAAAGGATTTTGTCCTCTGCCAGCAGTGAAGCCCAAAGAAATCCTTGTCCATATGGAAACATGACAAAATGGCACTCCCTCAAAACTTCATCCCTTTGTGGCAGATATTACTTTGGGACATGTCACGAGGGGTGTCTGCTGACTGTTGTCTTTCAGAAGCTGAGCCGTGCTACCACCAGCACAGTCTGGAAGAAAATCAAGTGGCTGTGGCTCATTTTATAAATTCCTCTGCTGCAGTGCAGCTCAGGAACAGATGTGATCTTGTGATGCAGGCACGGGAATGACGACACAGTTATGATCCAGTCTGGAAAACCCATAGCAGTTTTGTTTAAACAAATGAACAGAGAACTCTCCCCCACTTCTCACCCCCTGTGAGCAATGGGGCTTTAAAAAACTAAGAACATGTGGGATGTCCCTGAGGACACTGGTTGAAGGCAGTGCCTCTCCC